TACAACCTCTAGTTTCTTTGCCTCCTGCCAGTTCGTCCCTCCCACTCTAGTTCCCACACACAGATCAGACGAGGGTCATTTTCTCTGCTCCTGCCCCCACAGAACTGTGCTCATTGGCTCCAGGGCCAAATTTCCAGTTGTGGTCAGGCCTTCAATGCCCCTTATTAATTATTATCATCATCCCCAGTCCTCAGTCTCTTTGATTCTCATGTTAGGGCCACTTGGGCTTGTTTCCAGTCTCAGCTGTTATGAATAAAGTTGCTGTGAATATTCTTATACACATCTTTTGGTGGACAAATGTTTTTATTTTTCTTGCGTAAATATTTGGGAGTGGAATTGCAGGTTATAGGGTAGGTGTATAGTTAACTTTATAAGAAAGTACTAGCGATTTTCCAAAAGGTGTACCAATTGGGGCTTTTCTTAAAGAGATCCCTGTGCTTATGCTGGACTTCTGAATCAGAATATTCCAAATATAAAGGTCAGAAAGTTGTATTTTCACAAAGCTCCACATGTAATTTTAATGAAGCTAGTTCACTAACTGGCATTTGGAAACCACTGGACAACATTTAGAATTTTTACTTTCTTGTTTTTCCATTCCCTCCTCAATAAATGTAATTGTGGCTTCCATGTCCACCATATATAATGATTGCAAATAATGAAGTAGTTGACTAACAGTGGTTTAAACAGTAAGGGCTTTTATTTATCTCATATAAGAATAAGTCCAGAGGTAATTTGCTTCTAGTTTGGTTAATTTAGCCACTTAGTAGTGTCATCAAGGATCTAGGGATTTCTCATATGCCATCCTCAGGGTCCTAAGATAGCTGCCACAGCTCTGAACAGCATGGGCTCACAACACAACTTCCAAGGCCGAAAAGAAAGGGGTTGAAGTTACCTATTGTATTGAGGGGGAGAATCTTTTCCAGAAAGTTCGACTCCCAAGTCCCATTGTCCAGAACTAGGTCACTGGCCAACCCTTAGGGTAGGGGAAGGGGTATTAATGAAACATCTGGCATTATTGAGCTCCTGTAATGGGAGAAATCCTTACATTAAGGAAGAAGAGTAAGCAAATAGCTTTCGGGTAAGTGATCAACAGCGCTGATCTCACTAAAACTGCTCCTAGAAGGTCACCTTAATTGCTAAATCCAATGAATTCTCTCCAGTTTTCCTTGTATTTGACCTCTGTTATGTTTTACATCTCTGGATCCCTCTTTTTTTTACAGCCCCCTCCCCATCTCTCTTTGCTTGAAACTATTGTTTTCTGCTATTCATTCTTTCTGTCACTTTTCCTTGGGCTCCCATCCATTACATTTCTCCTCTTTGTAGATTGGTGTTAACCCTGGGTTTTTAACCAGGTGCTGTTTGGCTACCTCTGAGCATCTAATTCACTGACCCATCATAACCGTGTGACCAAGACCTGGTGAGGGCTGTTTGTGGCCTACCCCTTGAAACTTTGTGTTTGTATGGGCTTCCTCTCCCCACTGCAGTCCTGATTCTCTCTCTCTCTCTCTCTCTCTCTCTCTCTCATGTCTCTGTCTCTTCTCTCCATTACAGAGCTTTTGCTCATGGTAAGGTCTGTACCAGCTTTTTTTTAAGACAGACTTTTACAAAAAGTTACTTAAACCTCCTGTAGGGTAGGTCTTGAACTGAAGGGCCCTTTGTTTTCCCGTATTCCCTGAGAGTTTGGAATAGAAGCTGAGTTGTTCCAGAAAATAAAGAGGTGATGAATTTGGAATTCCATAATTTAAAAGATCAGGAAGAGAGAGTCTAGAGTCAGTTGAGAGCTGGATGATGGAAAAGTTGAGAAGGACTACCACTTATGGCTGCCTAAGAAAATTTGAATAGACATGTCTAGAGTGGAGTTTTCAAGTGAAACTATGTTTATTGTGACCCTTCCTCTGTAGCTGCACAAATGTTTATTGCAAATTTCTGAAACCACCATGTATGTAGTATGATACAGTTTTGGATGGACATCAGTGAGGGCGCCACAGGTTTATGGGGCTGGAAATGTGAACAGCCCCACACCTGAGTCATACCCAGGACTAACTAAGCCTCTCTGATCTCTCAGCCTCTGGCCTTGAGCTGCTTCAGCCCGCCCTTCACTTAGATGCTAGAGTGAGCTTTCTAAGATACAACCCAGGTCATTTCCCTGCTTACATCCTTTACTGGCTCCCCAATCAGTGTATCTCAAACCTGGGGTTCATGGACCCCTGGGGACCCACACTGAGGGGGTCTTCAGTACTCTTCAGGAAAGATATTATTTAATTTCAGGATTAATTTTTTTTTAATGTAAGCAGAGTCTATAATATCCAGATGACCACCTTATAACCAACTACTTTGAGATTTTGGTACTGGTTTGCTCTCATATTTATTGATTGGGTTGGTGCCAAGTCATTTTCTGAAACGATAGCATTTAATTTTTAATGCTGTACCTATTTTTATGTCAGCATTCACAGATATGTCCTAAACATCTATAACAGTGCCTGGCATATTGTAGATGGTCAGTACAGATTTGATGATTAAATGAATGAATGAAGTGTCTCAAACTGGGTTCTGATATCCTTGGGGATTCTCTATGGGTTGAGGTCTCCCAGCATGGCATATGAGGCTCTTCACAAGCTAGGAATTCTCAACTAGCAATTTCACCAGACAGTCTGGGCAGGATGTGGAGGCGTAGTCTTTTTTTAGAAAATAAAAAAGTGAAAGTATAAAGGATTTACGTACATTTTGACAGGGTAGATGTGATATGCAAATAACTTGCAAATATAATGCAAATGACATGCAACTCCTCATGCAAATGAGCATCCTGTCTTTGGAATCAACTGCTGGGGTATTCACTAATTTGTCTGTGGTACTGGCAGTAAATCTTTATAAAGGACTTAGGAAACAAGTTTCCTGATGGGGATGTGTGTACTGGGGAGGAGGAGGAGGGACCTCTCAGGAGGAGTCAGTGTGGTGCTGTAAGTATACAGCTTAATATGAAGCTTAATAAAGTATCAGTTTAACATGAAGTTATCCTGCTGTGATATTTCAAAGGCTGGCCTTTTGTAATTGGCAAAGGGTGGGGCGACAATGAAATGCATCTCCTTATCCCCCTCAACTCTTTGGCCACCCCTTATCTTCTGTCCCCTTCATCTCAAGCCATCCAGGCTCTGGTCTCCCAGAGTAGGGAGTCAGTGATCCCTGGCCCTAGATCTCCGTGGGGACCACAGAAGAGTCTGAGATAAAAGCCCTTGTAAATCATATCTGAAGGAGGTTAAGAGCATGATGTGGAGTTCTGCATTTCCTAATCTCATGACAAGAAGAATTTAGTTGAATTTCTGCTAAACCTATTAGTAAAAGATGGGTGGTTATAAGAAGCACGGAGGCTTTCTGAGAAATAGAGCTGCTTAATCTCAATGCCAATGATGTGCTATCTGACAAAATTGAATGCTTACTTGGAAAGGAAAAAAATGTCAACTATGATTTTTTTCATTATAAAAACCTGTCCCTGTCCTTGATGTGAAAGGAAATTTTGGTTACACAGACTCTTCTCCAATGATTATAATGTTGGGCAAATGACATACAAGAGCCTCAGCAGATAAATTTTAACATAACTTGGAATCTTTTTTTCTGACATTTTGCTTTGCAGTCAGACCTGGGTTCAAATTTTCACCTCCCAGCTATACACACTTGGGAAATTTATTCAACTTTTCTTAATCTCAGTTTCCTTATCTGTAAAATAGGAATAATAGAATCCTCAAGAGGTTGCTGTGAAGGTTAAATGAAATAATGCATGTATTTAGCACTGTGTCTGACTCACAGCAAGCATTCAATAAACGTAGCTATTTGCAGTGGTCATCTGTGGATTTGCTACCTAGAGTCCATTCACCCTCCATCTGATAACTGTACCCCATTTCCTTCTGGTGAACCATTTTTTTCTTCTTGGTATATGGTTCTAGTGAAACTGACTCTACCATCAGTGCCAGAAGTAGAGCACATGACTTAAGTTTAAACCAATCAGACCATTCCATCCTTCAGACCACAGTGTTTGAATTAAAAATAGGGACATACATAGAATTACCATTCAGCCCAGCAACTCCACTCTTAAATACCCAAGGGAATTGAAAGCAAGTCCTCAAACAAAAACTTGTATACAAATGTTCATAGCAGCTTATTCCTAACAGTCAAAAATGGAAACAACCTAAGTGTTCATCATCTGACAAATAGATGAACAAGATATTGGTATAGACATATCATGGGAATATTATTCAGCCATAAAAAGGAACAAAGTACTGATTCATGCTACAACATGGATGAACCTTGAAAACATTATGCTAAGTGAAAGAAGACAGTTATAAAAGGCCATATGTTAAGTGATTGCATTTATATGAAATATCCAGAATAGGCAAATCTATAGAGCAGGGAAAGTAGCTTAGTGGTTCCTAGGGACTAGAGGAAGGAGGAGGAAGAGGGGCTGCTAGTAGGTAGGGGATTTCTCTTTGAGGTAAACAAATGTTTTGGAATCAGTGATAATTGCACAACATTGTGAATATAAACACTGGACTGCCTACTTTAAAAGTGTGAATTTTATAGTATGTGAATTATGTCTCAATTAAAAAAAACTAAATTAAAAAAAAAGAATTGGCCCATGACTCAAGCAGGCCAATGACAGCCAATAAGTCTCAATCTGATCCTTTGGCACCACAAGAGAAATAAACTAGCTCCCTTCGTGCAGGCCTCCAACCTGAGAGAATATAGGTTCTGGAGTTGCTGACCTAATGCCATGTGCAAAGCCTAAGACTGAATCCTCCAACCTAGCTGGAAGCAGAGTCAAGAAATAAAAAGACATCAAGACCTGCTTGAACACTGGAGTAGGAGTGACTTCTCGTCCTAGGTTTCCTGGGACATCCCTGATGTTAGCCCTGAAAGTCCCGTGTCCATGTTGGTCACCCTCGTCGGAGCTCTGAACCTACCTCTGCTGCAAACTCAAAACTCTACCTGAGGACTTGCCGATGATACGAGTCAATGAATCCCCTTTTATTTTAGCAAGTGTCACAGTGGTTCTCCAGCGGCAGGCACTAAGAAGATAGCGTTTAGGGTTCAAGATCAGGGCACAGCACCTATGAAAGGAAGGAAGCAGAAGCAAGATTGGGCAGAGGAAGAAGTTAAAATGTGATGTAGGCCTTGGGTAATCAGCAGAGAGCTCTGCAACTAGTACTGCCCTTCAGAAGGTCCCACCCTGAGGCAAAACGGCTGGGCCATATACTCTTCCCTGCTTTTCACCTGCAAAATTCTAATCATTCTTCCTCTCAGCCTAGATGTTGCCTTTTTGGGGATAACTTTTCTAAAGCCATCAATGACATTAAGTCCCAAGGCGTTTGGCCTGTCTCCTTTATGTGTAGTTATCTGTCTAATATTGATTTTGTTTGTTTGTTTGATGTCTGTCTTCCTTGCATTATTTAGCTTCTGGAGGAAAGGACTGCTCTAGTTAGCTATTGCTAGGTAAAAAATGATTTCCAAACCTTAGTGGCTTAAAACAGAGTTTGGCAAAGTAAGGCCCAGGTGCCAGATCCAGCCCACAGTCTGTTTTGTATAACTGGAAGATTAATTTGTTTTACACTTTCTAAGGGGTTATAAAAAAGGCCCCTCAATATAAGAACATTATGTGATAGAGACAGCATATGGCCCACAAAGCCTAAAATATTTACTACCTGGCCCTTTATAGGAAAAGTTTCTCTGACCATGAATTAAAACCACAGCCATTTTGTTACATCTCATGATTGTGTACATCAGGGATTTGGGATGAATATTCTGCTCTATGTCTGTGGAGTGAGATGTCCCAGAGGCACTCCGCTGGAGGCTGATCTGGTCTGGAAGGTCCAAGAAGGCTTCACTCACACGACTGTTTCCTGAGCAGGCTGGCGAGAAGACTGCGCTCAGCCGAGTCCTCCATGCCAGCTATCCACCAGCATGGCTGGGCTTATTACAGAGTGGCTCAGGCTCTAAGAGACCAAAGTGGAAGCTCCCAAAGACTGGGCTTATGACTGGATAGCATCACTTCTGTACTCTACAGTCTAGATTCAGAGGGCACCCTAGATTCAAAAAGAGGACTTATATATCCCACCTCTTGGTAACAGGAGTGCAAAGAAGTTGAGGGCATATTTAATTTACTAGAGCATTAAGCTTGCTCACTCGCTATTACCTGCCCAGCTGTTAGCACAGTATCTGGCACATGAACTCAATACATTTATTAACTAATGGACACACTCTGTAGGTGGAATCTGACCTATATGAAATATGAAAGTATTAGATTTGGAACTAGATCAAAGCTGAGGACCACTTGGACCCTTAGAAGCATTTCCGTCTACATGTTCCATTTCAGGGCTACCACGGGCCCAGCACTATCCTGCATCTCTGACTATTTGAACTTCAGTTTCCTTTTTGGTTACTGAAGGACAATAAAACCTACATCTCACAGGATTCCTGTGAGAATTAAATGGTATAATAAATGTAACAAAGCTTTATAAACTATAAAATTCTGTTTAATGTTGTTATTATTCTCATTACTGCCCAAGTTGGGGAATGGACAAGCCCAAAGCCCCTAGATTCCCTGCCCTGGAGGAGGGCCCCTCAACCTTACCCTACTCTTACCCTGCTAGTTCCTGAGGAGCAGGCATTAGGAGAATGAAGTGGGGTCCTATGGCTATGCAATCCAGTTCTAGCCAGGGAAGATTGATTTCTCCACAGTGGCCCTAATGATGTTTCGATGGGTCTCATAATTCCGTAATGATCTTGATGCCAATGCCTCCTTCTCTGGGTGTCTCTGCAGAGGCTGTGGGGAAGTGCGAAGCCACAGGAGCTAAACAAATAAGAATGATTAGTTGCATGTGGCCAGCCCCTTGTTGCCTGAGCTGGCCTATTGTGCACTCTAACATAGGGAATAATAAAGATGCTGCTGAGAAAAACCACATTCAACTTGTCAGCTCACCCAGCTCCGAGAAAGCAGTATTCCTTTCCTCCAAAGAGCACCTGAAACCCTCTGTCCTAGAGGTACTCCCATGGCTTTCATTTCCTGTATGTTTCATTTTTGACTGGACAGAGAGTTTGTCTGCCTGAGTAATACTTCTTCCAGGCTTTCCACAAAAGCTCCTATAAAACCTGGACATGATGTATGACGTGTGTGTGGCGTGTGTAGGTCTGAGAGTGAGATAATTACTTAGAATGTTAAATAGGGATATAAAGCAGGATACCCTGTGTGAATATGTAAGTACCCACACTTGTATTTGTGTGTGATTTAACTTTGCCTAGACTCTAGCACAATGTCTGTTTAGCTAACAGGCATGGAAAAGAATAGTACTAATAGCTAAGACCTATTCAGCACTTACTTGCGCCAGCCACTGGGCTGAATGTTTCATATGTATCATCTCAATTTCCAGAATAATTGTTGAGATGAGTAATAACATTATTTCCATTTGACAGAAAAGGAAACACCCCTCTAAGCTTGGTTAGGGTTAAAGCAACTTGTTTAGCTGGGGAGTGGCAGTCAGGACTTGAAGGGTCTGTCCGATTCCAAGCCGTTGTTCTTAAACTGAACACAATTCCAAATCCAGGCTCTCTGCTGACAGTAATACTGGATTTGAAGGACTAATGCCCTGAGACAAGCCAATAAGGCCAGCCTTATTCTCATGTGATCTCCCAAGGCTTTGGTGCTTGGGAACCTTTATTAGGGACAGTGTCAGAGGAGGCAAGGGTTCTCCCAGTACTGGCTTGCTGCCCCAGGACTGTGCTGGCATGGTCAGTCACTGCACCTGCCATGTTCAGGATTCCCTCATAGCACACACCATCCCTTCTGCAGCTCCTGTGTATAGAAGCAGCTCTGGCCCTTGTGTAGGACTAAGTATAGACTGGACCAGAAGACAGTCTACAGAGGCTGCCCTACTACAGCCCTGCAGTGGCCTGGTTCTTAGGGTTCCAGCTCCATTCTCTGCCTTTATCAGCCCTTTTTCATGGGTCTGGGCAAACCTCAACTGCTCTGTATGATAATGCGGTAAGGAATTTGGAAGCTTGAGGGAAAACCCAGGAGAAAGAGATGTGAATGGTGGCTGACGGGGTACAAGCAAGGGAAAATAAAAGATTAAGAAATGATCCATGGAGGCAATATAGGTAAGAAAGGGACCTGGGAGGAAAGAACTGCTCAATTATGTTGTCTTTCAAGTTGTCTGCTTCAGGGTGTGTGGAATTAACATTCTTCTCCATCAACCCTACAACTCCTTCAATAAATTCTGCATGTCATACTGAAGCTTTTGCCGGTGTGGGTTCTTGGTGAGGAAATGGAGCAGGGTGAGGGGTCAGCTGGCATCCAGCTTATACTCCATCTGTCCCCAATCCTGTTCCCTTTGGGCCTTTGATTGGTTTTCAAGTCTACTTTATACGTGTATGTCACATGCTTCACTAGACACATCTAACTGTGTAATTATGTAAGAAATATATTTGTAACAGTGTGCATATCATTGTGTGACAGTGTGCATGCATGTGAATGCAGGATGTTTTCATTAATCTACACATGTAAACGTGTCTGTGTGTGTGCTGTATTTATGAGTCTGGATGTGTAAGCTGTGTGCACAAGTGTAGGTGTTTGTGCCAGGATGTATGTGTGTGTGTGTGTGTGTGCGTGTGTGTGTGTGCATGTGTGATTGCAGCCTTTTGTGGGTACCTGCAGGCAGTGCATTTGCATCAGATGTCTGTGTACCTGAGTGGATGTGTGGTTGAAGATGTTTCTGGAGGCAGAATCATAGTTCTTGGGGTTTTTCTTTGGCCTCAGTGGGAGCTGTTGGATGAGAATGCTTTGAAATCTTGTCTGTCTTTTGGGTCTCTTCTTTTCAGTCCTTTTCCTTTGAACCAGACAGGCCTGTTTAGAGAGCAAACATAGCTTAAGTTTACAGACCTTTTCTGGCCAAAGTCCTGTACAGCTGCCAAGGCCTTCCAGCAGGCAGGAGGCTGCCATCCAGAGATCTCACATCCCTTTCACAGGGGCTGAAATTTTTTTATTTTTATTTTTCCTTTTTTGCTGCAGAGGCCTCAGAAATGAACCAGAGACAGAACAAAGCACAGTCACTGGGGTCCTTGGGGTCTCCTAGGGCGAAGAGACTTAGAATTCTTGACTGCCACCAAAGAAGCTGCTCGTATGGGCTCGGTGTGCCCAGATCCTAGGGTAGATCTTATCTGGTCTCTGCCCTGTTTTGGCTGCTGCCACCCATTCCATCTGAGTGCAGCCCAGGAGGGAAGTGCAGGACCATGGTTCAGAGCACCACTTCCTCTTGGCTTCCTTGTCAGTGCTTTTTCCATGTTGGCAGCTTGACTTAGCTTTCTTGGAAACACTGAGAGCTCTGGCTTCATACTCTCCTTGCACTGCCTCTCAGGGTCTCTACAACACTGTTGTCCAATAGAGCTTTCCGCCATGATGGGGATGTTCCATACTCTGTGCTCTCCAATATGGTAGACATTAGCCACATGTGGCTCTTGAGCACTTGAAATGTGGGTAATGCAACTAAGGAACCAAGTTTAATTTTATTAATTTAGATCGAAATATTGGATGTGGCTACTGGCTACCATATTGGACTGCACAACTCTGAAGCGTTGACAGAGAAGAGTATTTACTTGTAAAACAGGGATAAAAACTGCCCTATCTGCCTCACAGGGCTGTCTGGAGCAAACAAGATGATGAAAGTGAGTTTTACTAACAGAAAGAATGTGGAAAGAAGGACCACAGTGTGAGCTAAGTGGGCTTATTCTTATATCTGTTTGTTAATATTTTTGTTTTGTTGCCCTTGCTGTACTGTTTTGATTTGATCAGTTTATATTTTGGTGTCTCTCATCTGACCCCTGAGCCCTTTGAATATAAAAACCCAGAGGGACTATTTCACAGCTGTATCCCCACAGCCAATGACTGGTATGGAGCTTGGTACTCATGTTCAAGTGAATAAAATGTCTGGAGTCCAGAGGGGATTCCTGGCAGCAGGATTTGAAGTGTATGGTGAAAGCTAGGGGTGCAGAGAGGAGGAGGCGGGACAATATGGTGGTGAGAAAGAGCTAGGGCTCTTGCTCCCACACTCAACATTCTAGGCCCATCCAGAGAGAGCAAGGGAGCTAGTTATTGATGCTGGAAATGCTTTTACATAACTGGTATCAAGCTTGTGGGAGATTAATTGAGAAAGGCTGATCAAAAGAGAAATGATCTACTCACCACATTCTGCTTGTTGAGGAAGGCTAGATTGATCTTATAAATCTTCACCTAGCCAGGGCTCTGGGGGTGGGTGCTATGGTTTCCTTCTGATTGATGGTGGCAAGGTTGAAGGTGATTCCTCAGGCAATCCACCCTTTCAAGCTTTGCTCTTCTGTGGAGTGGAAGAGAGAACTTGGAAGCTCTCCAAAAGAGCTACAAGGGAGAGATGGCTTTTTGATGATTGTTTACTTACTTAAAAGGAAATTAAAAACTTACTTGTGCTCCATCCCGAGAGTCACACAGGGAAATAAGAGAAGAGACTTCTGTGATCCTGCCATCGACTCTGATTCCTGAATTTCAAACTTCCCACTTTTCCAGTTGTCCTTCTTGTTTTCAGGCCATAAAAGTAGAGGCTGTCGGCCTAGGGCTGGCCCTGCACACTGCCTTTAGCTGCTCAGCAGAGTTGAGCTCCGTTCGTTTCCAGTCTAAGGTGGTTCTCAGTCATGGCTTTTCAACGTTTGGGTCCTGAAGGCACAGAATTTCTCTCCTCCACACACTTCAGCTAGTTAGATCTGTCTCAAGAAGGAAGCCAGGCTCCTGTGTGTGCTGGTAGCTCTGTGTCCAGCTGGACTCTTTTCTTGGCCTCGCATTTGTTTATTCATTCTAAGATTTGGGCTTAAGCTATTTTAAGCATCTTACTCTTGAAGCACTTTATTAATGTCTTTTTTATAACCTGTGTCAGGCTCCACTGTAATTTATGTGTTCCTTCTGTAATCTATCACTGATGTAATAGATATTTATTGAACATTTATTATCTGTCTTCATGGTACTAGACTGTGACACAAGCTAGAGTTATTTCTGGGCCCAGCTACTCTCTCTGGTCTCCTGGGTGTTCCATGGGAAAAGTGAGCTGTTTTCTGTCCTCTCCCACCCAGCCTCAGGGAAGTGTCCTGTGCAATCCTTTCTAATAAACTGACACTACCCAGTCAGCTATTGTCCAGCCACCTGTTTTCCCTCCCCAGGCTACTAACCAAAGTTTGTTCATAGTTTCGAAGTCAACCTCCCACCTGTCTGACGTAAACATAATAAAGAAGTAAACATAGTATTATGCTAGAAACTCACATAATACATGGAAAAGGGAAAGGAACTCCAGAGATAGGCTGATTGCTCTTGGGGAGTATCTGCTGCTTGGGGGAGGTCACTGGATTATACCCTCCTCCTTCCTGATTGATCAGAATCTCTCTGTGTTTGAAATTTGAGGGCTTGAGGGAGCACCCCATTTTATTGGTTAGGTTAAACACCTCTAGGCAAGGGGAAAGTCTAACAGAGTGGTATCCTGGAAAAACAGGACTTTCAGAGGCATGCAGATCTGCCTAAAAATCCCAGTTCTACCACTTCCTGACTATGAGAAATACTCTTACTGGTTGCAACTCAATAAGTGGACCTGGAGACAAAGAGAACAGCAGAGTGATGCTTCAATGGCAGTCTTGCAAGATCCGTTGTCTTTACTAGGCACACTCAGGATGGTTGCAACAAGCAATTTATTTCTTAGTATTCCAGACCCTCCCCTGATTCCTCAGTGGCTGAGTACTACAGGGTTCACATTCTTTCCTGGATGTAGCCTATGCAAATTATATCCATAACAGGCTTTCTTTACATTTGTCTTAATTTTATTGGCTGGTTCAAACCCCCCCTATCCCCAAATACAGACGACCTGTTGCTTCTCTTTCCTTCCCCCTCCTAGCCTGAGCAACTTCCTGGCATGTGTTTCACCACGTGCACTTTTTAACACCTTGTTATTTAAACGTTTAAACCCCCTGGTGGGAATAAGTCACATTTAGATTTTATGCTTTTTCGGGCGTTGACCGTATGCCCTTATATAAGTCCTTTAACTTCTTTGAGCCTCAGCTTCCACATTTGCAAAAAGGGGATGACAGTTCTGATTTTAGGAAGTTATGAGAAGTAAATAAAATGTATATGCAGCACTTAATAAAAGATTAAGTGGTAGAGCATTAGAGCTGCAGGTGATTTTTATTTTTAAAATAATTGGTCGTTGTCAACTCACACAAAACACAAGTATATAAAACAGGTGACTTGCAGGTGGTCTATTAAGCATGAATTTTCAAAGGGCTATTATTGCTTGAGATTCTCAGCTTTATTCCATACTGAGTCACAGCAGTTTGATTTATTCTTACTCCCCAACCTCCTCTGTTTTCTTTCTGATGATCTACCGCTAGAAAGAAATTAGGCTATTGGGAAATCAAAGTCGAAATTTCTTTGTTCCATTTAGGTTAGCTTGTAAGCAAAACCAGGCCCACGGGAAGCTCTTTCAAACACCGCTCGCTCCGGCGGAGGGATACAGGACAAAATGAAGTTTCGGAAGGCTGCGCAGGCAGACGCTCGGGGGCGGAGCTAACGGAAATCAGAGAGAGGCGGAGCTAACAACTCCGAGGGAGTGAGGCGACCGCCGGCCTTTCTGGAAGACTGCCATTGGCTGAGGCGGCGAGCAACGTAATAGCTGCGCGCTCGGGGGTTCAGACGGTCGCCGCCGCGTCTGCGCACCGGGAGCTGCTTGCCGTTGCGGCCGCCTGGAATTCTGGGGGTTGTGTCTGCCCCTTGGCTGCGGGCGGGAAGCCGAAGGTAGGGGGCGGTGAGGGCCGCCTGGCCTTGGTGCTGTGCGGGGGGCTCAGGCCGCTGCCTGGGCCTCGTGCCGCCAGCGGCCCCGGTGCCTTCCCAAGCACTGCCCCGGGGTCCCCACACATCCCCCTAGAGTCCCCAAACCGGGACGTCCAAGTAGGTCCTGGGCTCGTCATATTGTCTGCAGACACGGCCTCTTAGCCTTAAGGGCCGCGTTCTCTTCCTTTCCCACTGAGAGCGTCTCCAATAACCCTCATAAATGCCAGGAAACGAGGCAGTGGGGGTCCGAGACTGTCTTTTGGCTCCGCGTCCGTTTTGTTTCCTTCTCCCACCCTTAGTTTCTGCATCTGTCAGACCGCTTCTTTGGGGACATTCTGATTTGACCGTCCTCTTGTGTTTTCTCCACCATACGGAATTGCGCCCTACTTGCGTTGTATTTCTACCCCTGTCTGTGTTTTCCTTTGTCCTGGTAGATGGAAGACTCGCCTTTAAAGCAGGGGTTACAGATTTTGGGGTGTCTCACTACCTAGGAGGTTTTGTGTTTCCATGCAATATACCCACAGGGATTTCGAATAAAGTGGAGCATAGGCACCTGCAGTTCTACCCAGGTGGTTCTGATTCAGGTGGTCCAGTTATTCTCGCTTTGAGATTCTCTGCTTCAGAGGAGAGAATCAGGTGACATATGAGCCCCTGAAATGGAGATCTAAGTGGGAAAGACCAGGATTCAGAAAATGCCCAACACCTGATTGCCAGTGGGTGTTTTCTTTGCACTGTGGGAGCTAGAGGGCTATTTGATACCTTTAAATAATTTTTATGTCTGTATGTATACACACACACACACACACGTACGATCAGTTTTCTAATAAGTATTTTTAAGTGCTTGGCATCAATTCAAGCCCATCTGTTTTTCCGACTTCAATAAAACAAAACAAAACAAAACCACAACTGCTTTGGGTGGTTGAGGGGGTTAGATAAGCCAGACTAGGTAGGCAAGAGAATGAATCCTCCATGTTTGCTAAGAGAAGAAACTGATGTGTTTATAAACACTAACAGGGTTTGTTTTGACAGTGTGAAAGATGTTCTGTATCTGTTAGTCTTTTTAGCTCTCACCTCACCAAGCTTTTCTCTTTTGTGATAAAAGTATACCAGATTTAAGGATTGGATAGGATTTTGATGGAAGCCAGGGCATGAGGATATTAGGACTGATGTCTGTATAACATGGATTGGGACTTGGTCGCTAGTTCCAGTTGAGAGCATGACCCTTAGGTTATTAAGAAGGTGTTGCCATAGCAGATATATCTCAACCTTTTTTTGGGGTGCTTAATGAAAATAATCTACTAATTAACATATATGCTGTTCTAATGAAACTGACTACAGAAAAGACTGACTTCATTTTACAGATAGTGGGAATGGGGAATATATTAGAAGGGATGTAGTAGCCCAGGAGTGAAAAATTACCTTGTTCTTTCATTTCTGCTTTCTTCCCCTCCGCTGTTGTCATTGAAGCCAGGTATTTTCTGCAGAGACTACTTTGAACCCTGGTGTGTTTCATTTGCAGGAAAAAAGGCTAATTGAGTGAAAATGAAAAGCAACAAAATGGGTTTTAAAGTAAATATGCCAGAACTTTCAGAGTGTTCTCCTTTAGAGGGGTATGTGTAGGTGTGGTGGGAGTTGAGGGGGGCATGATTTAAGTGATAGGGCCATTGTCCAAAGCAGTTTTGAAAACCCATCTCTGAAACTGCCTTCAGAAACATGTGAGAGATCACTTTCATTTACACATGATACCATACTGTATTATTATTATTTTTTTAACCTCAAATGGCAGTGTTAAGCAACCTTGTCACCTGACTTGTCTTCAGAATAGTTAACAGTTCTTTTGAAGTGGCTAAAATGGATTTTTGGTGTGTGGTAAACATTGATTCTCAGTCTGTCACTTTATCTATTAGCCATATGACCTTGGACAAGTTATTGCATCTCTTTGGCTTGGTTTTCCACTTCATAAAAATGGGAATAATACTTCAAAGAGTCATTAAGTGAGGTAATACTCATGAATGCTCTTGGGACATAAGAACATAATAACTTTGTTTTCCTTCTCAAAGAATGAAGATTTGCTGTTAATGAGAATATTAAAAAAAAAGACAGTCTCTTTAAGAGAGGTTGTACCTTCTTCTAAATAGGTGGATGCCTTCTAATTCTTTTCATTGTATTTGTGGATTTATGCTCAGACCTCACTCTGCCTTCCATCTTTTTCTTCATTCATTTTCTATCTTTTCCTGAGTAAAGGCTTTCCTGCAGAGGCTGTTTGCTAGTCTCTTGGAGTAAGTCTCTTTTCAGGAGAGCTAATCTGCACATTCTTACAGTGCCAGCCCCTTGGTCATGTATTCCTGAGAGTATTTCTCTGGAGCCTCAGTTGGTGCTTAGAATACACTCTGTAGCACAGGCATCTCTAACCCTGGGATTTGGTGTCAGTTTGGAGACTTGTCCTTGTGGAGCTAATCTTTTCTCTTTCTGAGTGAGGATGAATACTTTATCCTCTGAGTCGGCCTTAAGCTGCAAGCCTTAGTCTTTCGCAGCATAGAGCTTCTCATTTTAATTATATGTGGTCTAAAAGGGGAATATCCTGCCCTTTTCTTCATTTACTTTCACCAAGGGTTTCACTGCTGAGTAGGAGAGAAGAGCCTGTTGCCATTCAGGTGGGGCTTTGGGTAGCCCCTGATCCCTAGCATCAGTAATAATTGGGTTTGTCTTTAGGACAAAAACCTCATGAAAGATTTGAAGTGCTCAAGACACATGTGAAGAACCCCCCAGAATTTTTCTGCCTTGTGAAGACTTTTCACCTGGCATCCTCAGTTGTACAGGTTTCTACCTTGGAGACAGTGAGAGGCCAGGAGCAGCAGAACAA